GACAGTCAGCTCCACAGGGGCAGCTGGGGACAGGAGGGACAGCCGGTCAGTGCTGGGTTCTCAGCCCAGAGAGTCTCTCAGTCCACCATGTCTCATACCCATCTGGAGCTGCCCCCCATGGCAGTGATGGGGCACAGGGTTCATATGGAGCCACCCACGCTTGCCCCTGCCAGCTGCAGCCCACGCCCAGGTGAGCAGCAGGAAGGGAAGAGGCTGCCAGAGGTTGGCACACAAGGGACTGGGGTGTCAGTGCTGGGTTCTCAGCCCAGAGAGTCTCTCAGTCCACCATGTCTCATACCCATCTGGAGCTGCCCCCCATGGCAGTGATGGGGCACAGGGTTCATATGGAGCCACCCACGCTTGCCCCTGCCAGCTGCAGCCCACGCCCAGGTGAGCAGCAGGAAGGGAAGAGGCTGCCAGAGGTTGGCACACAAGGGACTGGGGTGCAATGTAGAAGTGAACAAGTTTCTATTCCCATTGTGCCGGCTCCTTACCCACTAGAGGTGGGGCACATTCCTGAGATAGAACCTCGACCTCACACAGGGTGAGATGCTCCGCCCTGTCTGGGATGATGATGGAGACGTAGCGCCCCTCCAGCCGGTTGCAGCAGATGGTGCTGGTGGCTCCGGGCTCAGTGGCAGTGATGACCCCGCAGCTAAGGAAAAGAGCAGAAGCCAAGAAGACAAAAGAAGATGGACGCATGCAAGTGAACACGGCCTGATGCGATTAATTCACTGTGCAGACCTACAGAGGGAGCTGAAGCTCTCCCAGAACTATTACCTATTTCTCTGAGAACCTACGGAGGACAGGTGTGGTCCAGAGGGTTTGAGAAGGGCAAAGGGACCTAGCACTGAAAAGGGCAACAAAGAGGATATAGCAAATTCTAGACCAATCAGTCACACCCCACACTTCAAATGTAGGAAAACGGGAGACTAATGAGCAACAGCCTAAATGAAACCTGGCCTCAGGGCACAGGCCGAAAGACGTGGGCAGGGTTGGTCTGGAGAACAGAAGGCTGACGGGGGCAGGACAACAGTCTTCACACAGGTCACAGGTGGGTCACAGGGCAGCAGGCCCCTCAGGAGGCCGGGCACCCAGCCTCCCCATGATGAAGGAGAAGGAGCCAACCCAGCTCCACTGTGCGCTGTTAATTTCCTGCATGCCTGGAGGCTGCCAATTAGCTAGGTGGCTCCTGGCACCAGGGCAGGGCTGTGGGGCTCAGTCGGGGGCACAGATCACAGAGGAAGCTCCTAGCACTGCAGGTTTCAGGTAGGGATGTGAACGACTAGTCGAATAGTCAACTGATAGCAAATGCTTATCGACAAGTCGACACCCTAGTCGATTCATCGCTTCCTGCATCCCCTGGCTGCCGCTATCAGAAAGGGCAGCAAGGGGGGAGAGGAGGGATGCTTCAAAGCAGCAGCACCGTGTGCAGCCTGGGTCCCCCGCTGGCTCCGGGCTGCACGCGGCATTTCAAAGTGGCAGCGCCACGTGGAGCCCGGGGTCAGCAGGGGACTGACCCTGGGCTCCAGGCAGCACTGAGCTTTGAAATGCTGGGCTCCCCGCAGTGTTTCAGAGCAGCAGCACCGCATGGCACCCAGGGACTCAGTCTCCAGCTGACCCCAGGCACTGTGCGGTGCTCCTGCAGCGCTGTCGCCCTGGGGCCATTGCTACACTTCAAAGGCAAAGGTGCCCTAATCAGCTAATGGAATAGTGAATGCAAATTGCATCAACTATTGGATTGGCCCGTTACTCTAAATTTAACAGCCCTAGTTTCAGGGCAGCTGCTCATGGAGCACCCCAGGAAAGGCAACTAGGAGAGGGGTCCGGGAGGGAAGAGGATCCAAAGGGGGGAGCTGCCCCCAGCAGAAATCCCTCGCCAGACAGCGGCAGGTGCTCCCGATCACACAGTAACGCCATGCGGCTCTGGAGAGCAGCTGCCATGGTTTGTGCTCTGGTCAGTTTGCTCTCTGGTCTAGAGTGACTTGGTCCTGTCTCAGCATGGGGGGGATGGAAGGGATGGCCCCTGGGGGTGGCTTCCTGCCCTGCCCTGTCTGTGAATCTGGGTGGCAGGAATGGACACTGTAAGTGATGCTGCCAGCCCAGCGGTCCCCATCACAGCCCCATTGAGACAGGAACTACCCGGGTTCACATTGCTATCAGCAAGGGCTGTTCCCCTAACACTAATTGCTGGGGGACATGGTGGATTCTCCTCCCCTGGAGCCCTTCGGTCAAGGCTGGACACCTGTCGAACAGACACGCTGGAGCTCACAGAGATTGCGGGCTCAGCACAGAATCACTGCGTGAGGGTCCCTGGCCCGTGTCACACGGCAGCTCACACCAGGGGCTGGGGAAGGTCCCTCCAGGCCTCAGGAGTCTCTGGAGCCAGGAACATCAGTTCCCGGGGACCCGGGTGCGAGGATTCAGGAGAACGGCGGTGAGGGCAGAGACAGAACACGCAGGGGCTGGAGAGTGACGGCTCTACCCTGTACGGCCCAGCAGGGGGCGCTGTGCTCAGTGCCATGCAATTCCCTTCCCGCCCAGAGCTCAGATCACCATCAGCAAAGCACTCGCAGCTTCCAGCAGCTCAAAGTGGAAGAGGCCAGTGCGGCCCAGCTGGCAATGAGACCCAACCCCTGAGCCGGAGCTGAGAGGTGTCATTGCTACAGACAGTGGGGAAGGAACTCACATGGGGTTGTGCTTGCCATGGTTCACCAGGGAGTCTCCCACGTGGATCTGGGCCCCCTTCAGTCTGTCCCCACAACACTCGTCTTCCGTGTGCTTCACGATCACCACGGAGACGGAATGCCGGCTGCCCAAGTCCACGGTCCACCATGGCTCTGTGTCGAGGTTGGTGTGGCTGCAGGAGCCATCTTTCCACAGCCCATCATGTTTCCCATCCACGGCCTTTCCAGCCAGAGCTATTTCAGTCCCGTTCTGGTACGTGGACGACTGATTGGCCGGACGATACAGTGCCAAGTTTTCAGCTGGAATCAGAGGGCAAAAAGAGGGAAGGTGGGACGTGCCCATTGTTGGGAGGAGGGAGCACTAGGAGCCCTTTGTCCAACATGGAGCCAGGGATGCTCCTTGGTGGTCACACACAAACCAGGTACCACAAAAGAGGCAGGTTGGCAGAGGGAGCTGGGGTGCTGGGGACAGCAGTGACAGCAGGTTGGTGCTAGCATCCCAGATCAGAAAGAGCCTCTTTTAGCCCACCACATCCCATATCCAGATGGATCTGCTCCCCAAAGTAGGACAGGGCTCTCTGTTCATATGGAGACACCCCTGCATTCCCCTGCCAGCTACTTCCCATGCCTAGGTGAGCAGTGGGAAGGGAAGAATCTGCCAGAGTTTCTGCTGTCTCACCAGGCAGAGGTTGATGCACAAGAGACGGGGGTAGAACATGAAAGGGAACAAGTTTCTATTCCCATTGTGCCAGCTCCTTACCCATTAGAGGTGGGGCACAGCCCTGAGATAGAACCTCGACCTCACACAGATTGAGATACTCTTCCCTGTCCGGGATGACGATGGTGACGTAGCGGCCTGCCAGCCTGTTGCAGCAGATGGTGCTGATGGATCCGGGTCTGGTGTCGGTGATGGTCCCGCAGCTAAAGAAAAGAGCAGAAGTCAAGAAGACCAAACAAGTTAGATGTGTTCAAATTCAGAGCACCTACAGTTCACCCTACGGTACTTAAACAACTTGCCGAGCCAATCTCGGGCCCATCCATGATTTTATAGAGAACTCAAAAGGACGGGTGCAATCCCAGAGGACTAGAGAAGGGCAAACATTGTTTCCGTCTTTGAAAATGTTGAGCAAAGAGGATGTAGCAAATTCTAGACCAATGAGCCCAACTTCAAGGCTTAAAAGACACCGTAACAGATTATCAGACAGTTTGAAAGCAGCTCAGGGGATTATAAAGTGATAGTCATAGGTAATGTGGATTTCTGAAGTACAAATTGTGCCATACCTAACTGGCCTAATGGAGGGGGTCAGAAGTAAATGTGATAGGGATTCAGAGATAAAATTTCTTGACACCTTAAATGACTGTTTCTGGGAGCAGCTGGTTCTGGAACCCACAAGAGGACAGGCAATTCCTGATTTGGTCTTACGTGGAGCATAGGATCTGGTCCAACAGGTAAATATAATTGGACGGCTTGGAAATAGTGACCATAATATACTAAAATTTAACATCCCTCTGATGGGAAAAACACCACAGCAGCCCAACACTGTGGCATTTAATTTCAGAAAGGGAACTACACATAAACGAGGTGCTTAGTTAAACAGAAGTTTAAAAGTACAGTGCCAAAAGTAAAATCCCTGTAAGTTGTTTGGAAACTTTTCAAAAATACCATTATAGAGGCCCAACTGAAATGTATCCCCCAAATTAAAAAACATGGTAAGAAAACCAAAAAAGTGCCACCGAGGCTTAACAACCAAGTAAGAGAAGCCGTGAGAGATAAAAAGGCATAATTGAAAAAGCAGAAGTTAAATCCTCCTAGTGAGGAAAATAGAAAGGAGTATAAACTCTGTCGAATCAAGTGAAAAATATAAGAAAACCAAAAAGAAGTTTGAAGAACAGCTAGTCAAAAACTCAAAAAGCAAAAGAAAAAAGTTTTTTAAGTACATCAGAACCAGGAATCCTGCTAAACAACGTGTGGGGACACGGACGATCAAGATGCTATAGGAGCAGGAGTTCTGGCCAGGATGGAGGGTGCAGGAGCTGCCT